GATTCGTAACCACTACGCTACCAGAGCTCACATAGAATATAAAAATTCATAGCTTTTTTATTAGTATAGTTTTTAATTTGAGAAGTTAATATAATTTTTTTTTATTTGGTTTTGTAGCTTTTTATTAAGTCAGGAAACATATGAAGCATAATTCATTTAAAAATTCTCTTTGGCCAATGAAGGACCAAAACAAGGATGTAAAAAGTCCAACATATTAAGGACTTTCTTTCCCTTCTTAAGTTAAGCTTTAAAGCTATATTTAGGAATCAAATGATATAAAATCCTGGAAGATTGTGTTAACATTGTTGATAAATTTCAGGGAAGTAAATCAAGTACCTATATATTTAAAAGTGTGCTTTATTCAGTAGTTTTGATATCATGCTCAGTCCATCCTGTGGCGCTGTGGGTTAATGCGCCAGACTGCAAAGCCATTTGAACTGCAAGGTCGGCGGTTCAAGCTCACCAAAAACTTCTCGAAAACCCTATACAGGGTCACTATGGGTCAGAACTGACTCAACAGCACTTCACAACAACAACAACAGCATACTTTGACATTTTAAAAGTTATATTCTGTAACCATTCTGAAATGATGGGAAAACTTAAAAAAAAAAAATCTTACATGGTTATTTGCAATTGATTCACATCATCAGGCATTTAAAACTTTTTATTAGATAAATCATCATAATATGGTTGAAATTTGGTAAACTTCATTTTTCACTCTTCTGTGAAATTGTTTCATAAGACATCCACAGCCTGGTTTATTTCTGTGTTGTAGTGTGGACTTAACAGGGTCACTGCAGGTATCCCAGGCAAGGGACACAATCACGTTTCAGGCCAGTGTGACACTGTGGCTATTCTTATTCACATATGAATGTAGGAGTTCAGGCTAAATGCTGTGTTGTCTGTGGGACTTTAAATTATTCATCTTCAGAATTGAGTAGTAAATAAGATTTGAAATCATAGGATATTGGGAGGTGCAATTTGAAGGATTAAAATCTCTTGTAAATCAGTTGTGGAAAATGGTTGTTAAATGCTGACTTCCTAATATAAAATGTAAGAATAAAAGTTCTCCAATTAAAAAAACCAGTTGCCACTGAATTAACCCCAATTCACAGGAACTGTGTTAGCGTAGTGGTTACGAATCAGGCTGCAAACCGCAAGGTCAGCAGTTCGAAACTACCAGCTGCTCCGCGGGAGAAAGATGAGGCTTTCTGCTCCCGTAAAGATTTACAGCCTCGGAAACCCTGTTCAGGGTCGGTATGGGTCAGAACTGACTCCACGGCACTTAACAACAACAACACAGCGACCCCACATGTGTGAGAGCAGAACTGTACTCTGTAGGATTTTCACTGGCTGATATTTCTCAGTAGATCACCAGGCCTTTCTTCCAACGTGCTTCTAGGTAGACACTAACCTCCAACCTAAGATGTGATCTTGTTAACCTTTTGTACCACCAAGGGACTCCTCAGTCCTATTTTAAAAAGATCAATTCCACCCTTACGAGGGAGATGTGGTTATGCTGGGAGAAGCCCAGGAACTTGCCCAGGGTACCCCTGTTGACAAATGGCAGAGCCACATTTGAACCCTGGCAGTCTGATTCTTGAGTCTGTTTGAGGAGGGGCAGCCCCTGGTGACTTTGGCCAGAGAAATTCTCTAGCTGCCGTCTCTTCCACATCATCTCTGGTCTCTTCCACTGGTTTCTCTTCTTTTTAACTATCTGCTCTTTTTACTAGGAAGTACCTCTAGAGGTGAGGAACCTCAGCACCTGGGCCAGGTCCCTTCCACCCACTGAGGTGTCAGACTTTGGAGCCACCGGCTAGCCTTCGATGGTTCCCCATCTGCCCACTAGCCTAAAGAGGATGAGCTTGCCCTCTCCCTGCTAAACACTGGACTTTGGGGCCAAGCATCAAGGCAATCCCAGTGTCCTGAGCTGGACTTTGGCCAGCAGAGCTAGCTCCCCCTCCACCAAGGTGGTGGTGGAGGTGGTGATTCCATGGGGTGGGTCCAGCAGCAAGCAGTGAAAACGGGACAGAGCCCAGGAGTGCTTGTTAGCGCTGCAGACGGAGCCTGTGGCTGTGTGCGCAGATGACATCACTCCCGTGCCCTGTGCACCGTCTCTCACACTGTCTTCTCCATAATACATATAATGAGCTAAAGTCATTTACTCATTTATAGCTGAGGAACAGCCTCAGAAATAATTAGTAACTTGTCAAAGGTCACACAGCTAGGAAGGGGCAGAGCCAGGACTGGAACCCAGCCAGGTCTTTCTAACTCCAGAGTCACGTTAAGTGGTTCTGTCACCTACTCTATGGGGCCATTGCCTCTCGGTCACAAAAGCCACATCACACAGGACATAAGAAAGACCTTCATGCCAGCAACAAGAGCACACCATTCCCCTTTGGTCTTTTTCTGTAATGTAAGGAAGCCAGAGTGGCTGACTCCATGAGACTGAATGAAAAACCTTCTAGAACCTTCCCTGAGACATACTGGTGAGCACCCACATGCCTCTTGGTTGATGCTCTTGCATACCTGTGGTAATTGGATGGCTGGTCCTGTTGTCCCGGAGAATGCCAGGCTCAGCCTCAGTCACTGGGTTTCCAGAGAAGCGGCAACAAACACTTATTTATGAGACAGAAGCCAACAGAGCAGCTCCTCCCTCTGCTCCATCATCACCAGCAGCCTCTCTTCTGAACTGCCTCAAATCTCAGTGACAACTGGATGCAGAGTCTGCAGAGTGTGGGGGTCCTGGGAGCCCCACCCCACATGCACCTCCTTTGTTTCCTCACCTCCCTAAACAGCCTACTACTGGCGAACCCCAGTTCACAGGCCACTTGGCAACATTAGCAGCTATTTGCTTTGAACTTGACATCAGGCCCTGTAAATTCTCTCACTCATCCCCTTACCACCATCAGGAGGAAACTGAGCTTCACCGGGATTTCAGAGCTATCCAGGAAGTAGCAGAGCTGAGGCTAGACCCTGAGTCTGAGCTTGGGCCTTCTGTGCAGGAATGGCTAGGCTGGAAGGGACTTAGACGTGGTGAAGAGCACGTGCCCTGCAGTTGAACTTCCTGGGGTTCACGTGCCAACCTAGCTACATGCCCAGCTCAGTCTTGGCCACAGTGCCCCGCCTCCCTCTGATGGGGATGGTGGTGAGAATCCAGACCTTACACTCACAGGATGTGTGAAGATTAGTGAGTTCATACTTAAAGCTCTGTGGCCATGCCTGCCTGATACACAGTGAGCACTCGGCTGATACAGCACTGTTGCTCCTCTTAGAGGGCCCCACCAGGCTTTGCCACGGGAGCCCCAACACTAGCCTCCCCCTGGGCCAGCTCAGCTACTAGTATCTGTGCTGGAATGTCACGTCAGGTGAATGTGCTGACAGATGGCAGTGGCTCGGGTCACAGTGGTCTGCTTGGACTCCGTGCTCTGCTCTCAGGGAGTCCTGTTCCAGGTGTGTGGGTGAGACCCAGGGGGCTGTCAGATACTAGCACACAACCACAAGCCCAGCAGGGGCAAGCCTGGGTGGTCTGCATCCTTCTCTGAGGAGGTGCCCTGAGTCTCTGTATTCACCCAGATGCCTAGTTTCCTGAGAGCCTGCCCAGGGCTTGGGGACTGTACCACCATGAAAACTTGTTTTAGCTTGGAATCAATAGAAACGGGGATTCCTATCCTCCCCCACTGAATTAGCAGAACCCAGGATTTCCAGAAACTGTGACCCTGCCTTAGGGCAGAGACCCCCAACAGAAAGCAGGACATTCTGATCTGGCCAGCTGTTTGAAAAATGTAAACATAGCAGATCATGAACCCAGCAGATGTTTGTTCCGAATCTCGCTCCATCCCTCACCCTCTGGGGCAAACTAACTTTCCTGCTCCTCTTTCTGGCTCTAACCAAACAGCCTTCCAGCCAGGTCCACCTGAACCACATCGTCCTGTGAAGTGGGCCTCCACACACAGGGGGAGGTGAAGGTCTGCTGACCTCACTGCCTGGGGATTGAAAACATCTGAAGGTTCAGTTTCTGAGAGAATGGGGGTCTCCTGTCAGCAGCCACAGTCAAGTAGGTGGGCTGCAGGGAACAGACCCTGATCATTTCCTTGCTTTGTACAGCTCTGATCGAATCCCTCAACCAGAAACCACAGCCTGCCAGTGAACAACCCCAACCCACAGACACGACCCACACGACCCACAGGAAAGCAGGTGGGGCCGATGCCCCCTCGGCCAATGGGGAAGCTGGAGGTGGAGAGAGCACCAAAGGCTACACTACAGAACAAGTAGCGGCTGTGAAAAGGTAATGGCCGGGGCAAGCAGGGAGCTGGTGCTGGGGGAACACTGCCGGTCCAGAGGAGGTATCCTCAGCCCCTCCTTCACCTGTGGTCTGGGCTTGGGGGACTTGGAGGATAGAGGATGTCCAAGTGGTCTGGGTTCACTATGACCATGATTTGTCTCCCACAAGACCCTTGAGTACAGTGTGGGAACCTTGGCACCACCGCCCCCCACCCCGAGGACAGGCCTAAGATGCTGACACTGCTGGCTTGTTGACCTCATTACACAGAGCTGTTAGTCAGGTGGGGATGGGGCCTGAGCTCCCTCCAGAAGCTCCCCCAACTCACAACCCGCCCCCAACAAACACCCTTGCACACCAGAGCCAGGTTGGTGACCAGCTCTCCCTCGAAGCTGTGGGTGGTCTCTGAGGGAACAGACAGCCAGGCTTTCTCAGGAGTAGATGTTCCTGGTTCTGGTTTTTTCCGCCTCTCCCAGAGCAAGCCTATGCACCCTACATTGTCTGGGAGCTCCCGGGCCGTGGCTCATCTTGGGTGTGACCAGCAGAACTGGAGTGTACGCCACGAAAACACAGCTCGTGTACATTTCTCTAACGTGGTCATAGCCAACCACAACTGACTTAAGAGAGGCCTTCAGAAAGTCTAGAATGGGCCAAGAATCATGTGTCTCTGGGGAGTAAGGCTTCAGGGCCTTACTCTTCAGGGCCCTGTGGCCAGGTGGACCTACATTTCTGGTCTTTCTTGTTACCCTCAATGTCAGATGCATGGGCGTGAGTCCTACCTCCTGCGCAGGAAGGGCTGATAGTGAGGGTACTGTTGGTAGAAGCGAAAGGATCCTGACCTGGCAGAAACAGCAACCCTGTGTTCTGATGTTTCCATGGGACTCTGCATCACAGTCGTAGGTCTCACAGCCTGCTCAGAGCACTGAGCCCCCTGTAGTCCTCACCCATCTCTCTCCAGGGGTCTGGGAACATGTAGCAGCCCTCCACTTTCTCCCTCCCCCAGGGTCAAGCAGTGTAAAGATTACTACGAGATCCTGGGGGTGAGCAGAGGGGCTTCAGACGAGGACCTGAAGAAGGCCTACCGAAAACTGGCCTTGAAATTCCACCCCGACAAGAACCATGCACCTGGTGCCACTGAGGCTTTCAAAGGTAAGCTGCTCTGGCCTGTCCCTCCGGTTTAGCTCCTGTCTTTGAGCCAACACAGCTTTCCCAGGAAGTGGCGAGCAGAAGGAAGTGGCCTAGGGTTCAAGACCCAAGGGCCCGGAACTGCTTTCTGGGAAGAGGGTCCTGGTGGCCCGTCCAGCCGTGTAGTGTATCCCCTTTCCTCCTAGATGGATTGTCTCCAAGGTCACAAAGTGAAAGAGGAGGAGAACCAGCCTTCTTGACTCACCTGTATCCCCAACTTAGAATCTCGTAGCTGCCCATCGGGGGAACTGTTGCCCTGTGCTGAGGGACCGGGGCCTCGGCCTATAGCTGGAGCCAGCTTTGCCCAGTCCCTCCCACATACCACTTACACTCACACACTCTCTCACACACTTACATTTAGGGCAGCCTCTCTGGTCGTGGGCCTGTTGGTTCTGGGGTGGAATTGTTTATGTGTGTTTCCTGTGGCCTGCCAGGCTCACCTGTGCCCCACCTAGCTGCCAGTCTGAATGTCTATACACTCCATTGAGCCTGCAGACTGCCTTCCTTTGCTCTTTTCCGCTTTGTCCTCTTTGGAGTCTAGGCTCACCTCCCCCAGGAGAGAGAGTGTGGGTGGACTGGTCCCACCTAGCCTGAGCAGTGAGCTGTGCAGAATAGGGCCCAGGACCACCTCAGGTGGGAGTCTGACGCAGCTTCTAAGGACCTGGTGTGTTGTCTCCCAGGGACCTTCCCTGGAATTACCATTCAGGGCTGTTTGGGGTAGGGCCCTGCTGGCGTAGGCTGCATCTCCCCTTGCTGCCTGGGAGCCAGCCCTGAGGAAGAAGGGAAATGAGAGACAAAGGAAAGGTAACCATGAACAATGTTTCTCCTGCCCCGACCTCTCCCTGCAGCCTGCCCCTGCACCGACAGGCACCAAGATTCCAGGTTTGGTGTTGAGACCTTGTCGAACGGGAGGAGAAAGTTCTGCCTCCTTTTTCCAAAGGTGGCAGCTTCTGAAACATGCTGCTTGGATCACGCACTATCCTCTGGGAATGAGGACAGCTGGGGGAGAAGGGGCAGAAGATGAAGGAGCAGCCAGAGCTGCAGTTTTGGGGCATAGTCTTTGTGCCCAGGGAGCTGTGGTGGGCAGGCCCCAGGTCAAGCAGGGGAGCCACAGCTGTCTTGGACCCCCGAAAGTTGGAGACTCGCTCAGGCCACACAACTGGCAGTGGAGAGTTCTTGACTAGAACTCAGTTGTGTGGCTCCCAGGGTGGGACCAGCAGGTTTACAACAAGGACATGTCACATAGAAATGTTCTCAAGTGGTGTCCAGCCCATTGGACACCTTCAGTGAGTGGAGTGAGGAAAAGGGGTTGGGGTGTCTTCATACAGTCGGGGTGCAAGCCTGAAACCTGACAGACTGGGGCTTGATGCCTGGCTTCTGATGCCACAAGGGAACTGGCACATGGACTAGGCCAACCTAGCCTCCACTCAGCCTGGGCTGCCCATCTACTTTGGGACATTTCTGCTTCCTAAATTACTATTGTACCTGAAGTGAGTGCTTAGCTGCCCAGCGAGCCCCTACCCCCACCCCATGTCCTGACCTCTGTGCCTCCTTTCTAGCCATCGGCACAGCCTATGCGGTACTGAGCAACCCTGAGAAGAGGAAGCAGTATGACCAGTTTGGGGATGACAAGAACCAGGCAGCCCGGCATGGCCATGGCCATGGGGACTTCCATCGCACCTTCGAGGCTGACATCTCCCCTGAAGACCTCTTCAACATGTTCTTTGGTGGTGGCTTCCCTTCTAGTAAGGTTCCCCAACACGTACACCCCTGGACTGGCTGGCTCCCTTCCTCCTTGGGGGTGATGCTACGGGTACTTCCCACAGCTCCAGCTCCTGACTTAGTCCTTCTGCCCACCAGGTAATGTCCACGTCTACAGCAATGGCCGAATGCGCTATACTTACCAGCAAAGGCAGGACCGCAGGGAGAACCAGGGTGACGTGAGTGAGGAAGGTGCTGGGGAGGGTGCCCAGGGAGTGGGACCTGGCCAAGGGAGTCACCTAGGACCAGCAGCGCCCTAGCAACTCTCAGCTCAGAAACCACCTTGGCCACCTTGCCATTCTCCTGAGGGACACCAGAGGGCGCCACTCTCCACCGTATCCGTGGGAGTGGGGAATTGATGACTGAGAGATTACTACAGAAATTTCTCCACCTACAGACAGGCTTAATCCTGGATGGCTTTTGTACAGTCCAGTTGTTCTTAAGGCCAAAGTGATATTTTCTGAGCAATGAGTGGACTGTCAGCATTGGGAAGTTCACTTCCTAAGAGAATTACAAAGAATGACAACATAGGTGCTTCCAGCGTTTTAGTGCTCTTGAAAAATGTGTACAAAAGATCCAACGAGACAATGCTTCAGGCACATTGTGCATGCCACAGATTCAATGATACCTAGCTGGCCAAAATGAGAAAACTGTGGACAGTTGCAGATTTTTAAAAATTCTGGCAAACAGGCCCCTTTTGCTACAGAAAAGTTTTATTTTAAATCCCATACTACCATGCGGTGAATAAATGTATCGATTTTAATTTCTGGTGTTATAATTGGAAATTTTTAAGTTGGTAATTTATTCTTGAGTCTCTGAATTCAAAACGTCCCATTCTGGAGGCAGCTACTATGGCTGATTGTTTCCCGTGTTTTCTCACAAGTAACTATGTATGTATGGATGGATACCCACCTCCCTCCTTTATGGACCCCAGATTGCTGCTTCATTGTTAACTGAGAAAGCTGGCAGGTGGAGGAGCTTCTGTGGTAATGGGGCCTGAGGGGGTGGGAGAGGAGGCAGGAAGTGTAGTGACCTGTGACAGCTGGCTTCTGCCCCTTGGGTCCTGTTGTGATTATGGGTAGGCTGATGGCAGGGTGGCCAGTGCTGGGTACAGCTGGGTGATGGTGGCTCTTCCCTCCAGGGCGGGCTGGGGGTGTTTGTCCAACTGATGCCCATCCTCATCCTGATTCTCGTGTCAGCTCTGAGCCAGCTTATGGTCTCCAGTCCACCCTACAGTCTGAGCCTGAGGCCGTGAGTACCTGCAGCCAGGAGGGGAGGCTGGGGCGGTGGGCACACAAGGGGCTTCGGAGTCTCAGCCCTGTATGGGGACTTCCTTCCCGTCCTGAACCAGCAGGTTCGTGATCATAATTCAGAAAGCTGGCTTAGAGTCAATGAGATGCTTTTCCATTTGAACTGAGAGTCTTCCTCCTTTTCCGATCATAGGCCCCCAAGAAAACGCAAGCCTTTCTTCTAGGACTGTGTGCATACGACCATTTTGCTTCATCTCTCTCTCAAGTCAGACAGAACTGGGGTGGCTTTGAATCCTAGCTTCTCCACTAACTAAACAGCTGTAGGATTCTGAACAAGTTAACTTCTGCTTGCTGGTGTTGTGCTGTAGGGTCAGCACTGGACTTCAAACCGCAGGGTCAGTAGTTGAAACCCACCAGCTGCTCCTTGGAAATTTCTATGCAGGGTCGCTATGAGTCGGAACCGACTCGATCGATCGCACTTAACAACTTGCCTCTGAAAATGAATGAGCAATACCTGGTGCATTATAAATGCTCGGCAGCATTTGTTGAAGAATATGTAGCCTTGGCTGCCAGTATTAAAGTGGGGCAAGTTATGTTATTTAGGGCATTGGCCCCTGTCACTGATTGCCAGCACCTTGTGTGCCTTCTGATAGAGTGGGTGTGTGTTCAGCTTGTGTTTGTTGGAGCCTGGCTGAACTGCTTTCAGCCAGCAGGGGGCAGGTGTGGTCCACTGGACCCATACCACCCTCTATAGGCTCCCAGCCAACTGATCTCAGCCCATTTCTCTGTAGCAGGAGTGGTGGGTGGCAGTTTTGAGGTGGTGGGCAAGAGAGCACTGACTCCTATCTGGTACTGAGGCACTTACAGCCTCAGCCTGTGATCGGAGCTGAGATAGAAGCCAAGAGCTGGGAGGGTCCAACCAATCCCCAGGAACCATCCTGTCATTTAGCTCCAAAGTCCCTGCACTCGACTGAAGCTCCTAATGCTCTGGGCTTTGGGGACAAATGAGGAGATGGAGGCACAGGGAGCTCATCAGGAAATCCAGGCCTGTCCCCAAATCCCCCACTTCCCTGACCACAAGGCCTCTGCTCAGAGAGGGGTCAACAGTGTAGTAAGCAGAGAGCCGGAGAGAAGGGCCACCTAGAGGAGGGACACCCTAACTTTTCTGTAGATTCTCACTTTGGGTCATGTGAGTCTCAACCACCATGGAGGCCCTCCTGGCCTAGAGCCCCCCCATCACTAAAGCTGCCCTGGGCCTGGGACCCACTTTGCACCTGGTCTGTCCCTGGCCAGGTCCGTGGGCCATGTCCACAAGCGATTCACTGACCACCTGAACGTCGTCTACTACGTGGCAGACACCTTCTCCGAGGAGTACACAGGGTCTAGCCTCAAAGCAGTGGAACGGAATGTGGAAGATGATTATATCGCTAACCTCCGGAACAACTGCTGGAAGGAGAAACAGCAAAGTGAGTGCAGTTGGCGGGAGGAGGGACCAGCAAAAGCCTTGTTCGCCCAAGATCTGCAGTCCCTGAGCTCCACTCCTGCATTTCCCTGTGGCTGGGAGCCAGATGACTGCAAATCACTACTTGTCATTTTGACTGCCAGGTGTAAGGACGTGGCTACAGGCTGAAGCAGGTCCCCTGGGTGCTCATAGATTGGGCATCCAGCTCCCTTGGTTGACCTGATCTAGTGTCTCCATCCCCCTCCCAAGTCAAGACTACCGTCTTTGTTTTTCTGTCATCTTCCCTAATGATTACCCAGCTCTGCCCAAGCTATCCCTGGGCCTATACCAACCTTTCCTGCAGACCTGGGCAGGCCTCCCAACAGCCTTCAGGAGGTGCCAACTGTGCCCTGACCCTGCCCATTCATTATTTTGCAGAGGAAGGCTTGCTGTACCGGGCCCGCTACTTCGGCGACACAGATATGTACCACAAAGCCCAGAAGATGGGCACTCCGAGCTGTAACCGACTCTCAGAGGTGCAGGCCTCCCTGCATGGATAGTCCTGGGCCAGCCACACCACCGAGGTCCAAGTATGCGTCAGGACCTCCTCTACCCTGCAACTCCCAGCAACTTTGGCCCTGGTGGGGATGGGGACAGGATGGCTGGTTAGGACACAGACTCCTTGTCCCAAGCCTGACCTTGGTTCTCCAGAGACAGGCAACTCTGGGCCTGCTTGGAAACAAGTCTGTTCCCCACCCCACCTCACCTCCTTGATGGAGGACTGCAGGGGTCCCGGAGCCAGGCAGAATAGGGAGCCCAAGTCTGTTGCTGAAGCCTCTCGTGGCTCCTCTGTCTGGTCCAGCCATTAAATTGCCAGCACCTGTGCCCTGCAGCCTAGACCCAGGAGGGTATCCGCACAGACCACCACCTGACACTGGGAGAACCAGGGGACAGTGGGGGTAGGGGGGCATGGGGAACCTTTCCTCTTCCTTTGCCCTCCCAGGCAGGAGATGAGTGGAAGGAACCTACGGGCTCTGAGGCAGAGACCTGTGCACCCTGTTTGCTCTCCCTCTGTGGGACCAGAGTGCCGGTGATCGCCTCAACACCTGGCAGACTGGAAGCTGCAGGCGTCCGGCCCCACCCAAGTGTTTCTTCTGTGGTCTGAGGAAGGAACAGAAGGTTACCAGTTCAGGGTCGCTGCCAAGCTACACAGTACATCAGGGATGGGGAAAAAGGAAAGCTGCTGGTGGCAGGCTAACAACCTCCATTCCCCTTCGCGTGGGTGGTAGCCTCTGTTCCCAGTTTTTGCCAGAGTGGGCAGCTGAGACCAAGGCCAGAGTAGTGTGGGCCGAGCCCAAAAGTTTCTTCTCTTTATTGGTACCCTGCCCAGCTCTACCTCTGCCCCTTGGGCAAGGACCCAACCACAGTCTCAGTTTAGGGCCATTTGTCTTCATTTAGCACCTCCAGGAGGAGGGTGGGGTGGGCAGGACCACAGGCAGGGCAGGTCTGCCTGTGAGCTAGCTACAAGGGGCCTTGTGATGCCCTACTAACCGTTTCCTTCTCCTCCCCAGACTATGAAATCCCTGGAGAATTTTTGGTGACATGCACTGAGCCAAGGTGATGGACTTGTATATTTAAGGAAAGACATAAAAATGAAAAAAATTAAAGTGGAATTGGAGGCCGAACACCGCACAACTGCCCTCTCCCCCCAGTAAATGCAGATCGTTCTTAGGACAGACCAGAAGGCCTGCCTTCCTCCCAGGGCTGGCAAGGCCCCAGCTCCTAGGATACAGGAACCATGGCAACGAAAGTAGAATGTAAAACTTGCAGCAAATGTGTGGGAAGGGCTGGGGGAGGGGGTGGCCACTGTGTTCCCTCCCCCTCCCACTGGCTGTCACCTCTCAGAAGAGACCAGTCAGATTTTGGGTCAAGAACAGAGCGGAGGAAGGAAACCTTTCCTTAGGATGTAACTTATAGATGCATGTATATGTATATATATCTATTTATATGTAAATAGGCATATATAAAAAGATATATATATATAGTCTAACGTTTTAAACTCTGCAGGGATTTGGTTGTTTAGCAGATTTCCTCCCTGTTGTAGAAAGCCTGACCTGTTTGAGGAAAGCAAGCTGGTCCTTCCAAAGTCCACCATCACCATAGCTGGCAGATTAAGAGAAGTCAGGTCTAGACGTTTCCCCAGCCCTGGGCTGGATTTGAAGGTGGCAGTAATCATGTAAATTAGTGAAAGCTTGGAAGGCTACCAGGTGGAGTAGGCTGTAGGGGAGAAAGGCTCCCCTCGGTGCATGGTCAGTGTTGGGTCATCTGAGAGGCTAGACAGTACCTACTGGGGTGAGACCGCCCACCTCAACCTGCCCCTCTCCTTTGACAAGCTCAGGTGGGCTCTTTGCCTTGGTTTCCTGGAGCTTTCCAAGCCTCTGGCAGCAGAAAACAGCAGGGTTCAAAGAGGGAAAGCAGGCTCTGCCCAGCCACCTCTCCCTTACCCCTAACCCCCAATCCCTAAGTGGATGTTGCCTTATAGGTGCCCCAAGGCACAAATCCATGTTGCCACTGGTTTTTCCTAAGTATGCACCAAGGACTCCAGAAGGCTGTTCCTCCACGGACCAGCCAGGCAGGAACCAGGACCCCAGGGCCAAAGACCAACTCCATCCTGGAGAAAACTGAAAGCCGGTGGGTCTCTCCCCCTCCGTGGATGGGACTCCCATCAGGCCCAGCCCTTCTCCTGCCCTGTGGACCGAGGACACACCTGGGTCAGAATGGTTTCTTCTTATCTTCAAATAAGGATTCTCTCAAAATAGCAGTTGCTGCCAGGGGAAGGCAGGGCCATTTTGTTTATCTCCACAGTTTATACTGGGCCTTTTGGAATTAACATTTTTCCTGAATTTTCCTCTGGCGGTGGATGTGTCCTTGAGCCTGCTGCCATCTTCCAAAGCCTTACTTCCCCAAGCTGCCAGCCAGGAGGGGTGACTATCCTCCAAGTTTCTCTTGGCTCTTGTTTTCTTTTTAAATCCCTCCAATAAATAGGATTCTTGATGGGAAAAGGAAGCTTGGTAAGGAAATGTCAAATCTGTTTTTTAAACAAAGTTCTGCCCAGTGCTGAGGCCAGAGAGCTGACAGAACTGGACGGGGTGTGAGTGCCGCCCTTCGGTGGCCCTGGTGCTCTGCCCCCACCCCTACCACCTGGTCTTGGTCAACATCCCTAGATGGGCTGAGCTATGTGCAATAATAACATAGATCCCTTTGGATCCCCTGAAAAGTTGTATTTCTTGAATTAGAACTCTAAAATTGTACATGTATAAATATGTGTTTATTATGTGGTTGGCTGTGGTGGGTCTGCCTTGAGCAGGGGCTGAAGTTGGGGAGGGGCACAAGCACCTGTTGCTGCTGACTGTCCTTCCCATGCCTTGGAGAGATTTGGATGACAAGTCCAGTTTTTCCCATGCCGTAGCTGACAGCCACTTTTGGGCTGACTCCATCCAGGTGAAGGGTTTGGGTGGCTTTAGGAAGGGACAGGAGTCCTGACCCCAGTCCTGGTGGACAACCCAAGCCAGGACCACCAGCCTCCGCTCCCCCCTGCTCCCACTCCTCCCTCCATCTCCGGACTGTGAGCAGAGCAGGTTCAGACGTCCCCTCTCCTGTGTACTGTGTGGGAACATGGGGGAAGTTCCCCGAGGTTCTTTGCTTGGCTGGCTGGTCCTACCACCCTTCCTTCCCACAGCACACCCTCCCCCGGGAGGTCGGAAAAGTTAAAAATGTGGCAACCCAAGTAGGGCTTCCCATGAATGGAGCGAGCGGCAGATCTGCCAAGTCTCCCAGAGACAGAGCCAGCGTCCCTGACTGGCGGGCCAAAGCCCCTCCCGCCGCTGCACCAGCCAAAGACAGGCGGGCTGCCCGGTGGTGCCACCGCAGCCTGGGCGCTCATTGGCTGCCCCCACCAGGGTCACTGCAGCCTGCCCTGGCCCAGCTGAGGGGGGCGGGTGCGAGCCACCACTTGTTAGCTACCAATCTGTCCCCATTCATCTGCCCTGCCCTGCTGCCCTCACTGCACAACTCGGGGAACCAGCAGGGGCGGGGCAGACGCCGCATCTGACTATTGGCAACAAAAAAAAAAGAGACAAGTAGCTTCCACCCATTATTAGGTGGTAACAAGCCTCTGGTCCATCCAAGCTCCCAGGGGCCAGCCGGTTTATCTTACCCAGTGCCGCTCCCAGGTCTAGGGGCCAGGAGCACCCACCCAGGCCTGTTGCACCCCCATCCCCATGCTGAATCGTTGGGCACACAAGCAGTACCAAGATTGTTAACACTGTTCTGGAGGTCAGGATGCCTACCAAATGTTATATTGTGTGACATTGGGGAGTCAGCCCATTTCCCAGAGCAGGAAACTGAGACTTGGGGAGGAAACTATCCCATGGTCTCCAAGAAACTGCCTGTCTTGGAGGACCTAAGTAGCAGAGTAATCATTCTGCAAACATTTACTGAGGACCTTCAGGGGAGGGGGTGGAGCCTTCAAGGAAATGCAAAGCCCAAGGGAATTGCAAAGTGTTGGGGACCCGAAGCCCCAGGAGCTCACCACTCACTGAAGCCTAGAAGAATGGGTGACACTGAGTCTCGGACTGTTTTAAGGAAAACAGCCCTCAATTTGGCGGGCTTGAGGAGAGGTCAGCTGCTTGCTCAAAGCAGCACATTGAAATTGAAGCAGGTGACAAAGGAGTTCACACCTCCAGTCATAATCACTCACGCTCCACTCCGGTTGCAGAATAGGAGATGGGTTTTTGAGTGTCATTGTGGGAGCCTTCCTGAGCTGGAATCCTGGTCTCTTAACCTCCTTCTGCCTGGGTGTCCTCATCCACAAAATGGGAGTCATGAAAGCACCTACCTCAGGGGGTTGTTGTATGGATGTTGATGTTATCACATATAAAGCACTAAAAACTGTCGAGTTCCATTTCAGGTACTGAAATCACAAGGTGACAACTGCAGAAAGCAGCAGGAGAGAAGGAAAGAGTCGGTGTTCACAGTAGGCAAAGGACTGTGATAAAATCCCCCCCCCCCCCCCGGGAGTGTGAGCAGGTGGATAAAGGGCCTAGCATCTGTGAGGGGACAAGGGCACAGATAGAGCCATGGTGACACCAGCCACTCAGGGAGAAAGTTGAGACTGTCTGCTCCTGTCAAAATTTACAGGGTCGCTATGAATTTAGAAATTTTACAGAATCAACTCAATGACCATAGGTTTTTTTGGTTTGGGGGCACAGGCTGGGTCGGGTTGAGCAGAGGCTCTCACGTGGATATTTGTGGAAGTGAGTGAATTCAGGTGAACGGCAGGTCACATGCACTGGCCTTGGGCGGGGGGAAAAAACTTCACAGGGCATGGATGACAGCCCCTGAGCTTCTTGGATCCACTCAGTTACTCCCTCAGCCTAAAGGTGCTGGGCCTGCCTCAGGGAAGCTGAGGGGAGCAGAAGCTTGCTTAGCCCAGGGAGAAAAGGAAGCACCACCAGAGAGATGTCTGGAACCCCAGGCTGATGAGAGATGGGCCTGGAGTGGGGATGGGATAGGGCTTAGACACCTCAGGTGTTTCTTCTATAGCCTGGTGGGCGGGGAAAACACATTCCAGGCTTGTAGGACAAACAGCAGGCACTTTCTAAGACCTCTGAGGCCAAATGGCCCTCCCAGACCCTGGAGGTGGCGCTTTGCTGGAGGGGCTCTTGCTGCTGGAGTTGCCCCTTCCTTTCCCACCCCCACCCCCACCCCCAAGTTTAGTCTAAACAAAGCCTCAGGAAGGGTGGCACCACCTTCTGTAGCTGAGACTGGCTAGCTTTTTCTCCCAGAGGGTTGAGTACAGGACCTCTGGGGCCTCTTGTTAACAGTTCCCCACCCAGACTGTCAACCCAAAGGTTCCCACTTTTCTCCTGAACACAACTGAGCAGGAGAATGCTGGGAAGTCTCCTTTTACTGATGGGGAAAGTGGAGGCCAAGAAGCAAAATAAAGGGGCTCCAATCTTGTTCCCTCAAGCCACCAGAGAGCCGCCCCAAATGTTCACTAGAGCTTGTCACCACTGGTGAGCCCTTCTGGTTCCCATGGCCTATGGGGTCCTCACACTCTGACCTGAAAATTACCAGACTCTTCAGAAACCCCTCTCTTTTCAGGACCCAGCCTCCTCTGTCTCCTCCATCCCCGAGACAGGTCCTGCAGAGCCTCCCTTTGACGCTCTGAGTGAAGGCTTCTCCCTAAGAGAGGCAGGAAGACATCTGTCTTGTTCAGGGCCTGGGACACCCTGGGGCTCCTCAGCACGCACACACCTATGGAGACCATTCTTGACCCTCAGCTTCACCACCTCCTCTGCCCTGGGTCACACGGAGGAGGACAGTTTTGCAACCTTACACCACACACCGAGAGACAGAATAAGGGCTCCAATCTTGTCCCTCCAAGCAGGGACACTTCTCCCAGACTCAGAGGACTCAGACCCAGGGCCCATCTCTTGTGAAACAGCCACTGAGTGAGGTCTGGTGACATGTCATCACCTGGAGGAGGCAGAAAGAGGTGGCCACCTCTCCCTGAGTGGGGACTGGTATTCTCTCCTCAAGGTGGGAATTAAAATCACAAACAGTGCTCATCCTTCAGGGGGGCATCATGGTAGGGGGCCTGCAGAGGAGTCACAGTGACACCATCCACTTCTGGAGTCAGACCCACCCCTGTCCTTGGGTGCTGGCTGACCACAGGCCTCAAAGTCACCTCTGACAGGACTCTGGGACTGTATCAAACCACACACACACACACCCACTTGACTGCAAGTACCACACAAGTAGCAACTGTGTCCCCAACATTAACAGGCCAGCATGGCATATGAGGTAGGGCTGCTCTTTAGCCACTTAGGGACCTCAGTTTCCCCCAGCCCCTCTTGAGACTGAAACACTGAATGGGTTCCAAGCCTCAGCTCTAAAGGACACGCTACACAGGAAGCACTTTTTGTTTTTATTTTACATATTTATTGTAATTACTATCACCATCCCACAGACCTTATTGGTACAGTCCTTAATTAATGCCAACCTTTGCCAGTT